AAATAAAGATTATATTATAGCAGTATTTAATTTTATTTTATAAGAAAAAAATTTTAAGTTGCTTATAAGATAAAAATGACAATTACTACAAATTCTCTGTTTTTTTAGTATATTTTTGAAATAGGACATTTATTTTTGGTGCACCCTGCACTTGGTGCATTCTTCAATGATATCTCAAAATTTTACTAGGGTAACCCTGTTGTGTAACTAATAAAAAATACTCCCTGTCAAGTTTTTACCCTAACTCAACCTTAATTTTAACCCTAATCTAACCCTAATTCTAATTTAACCCTCATTTATATTAATTTGCTATAGTTTACTATAGAGTGCACCGATATGCACCCTGCACAAAAAAATAATTTCCCTTTGAAATATAGCTAAAATAATTTTATATATAAATATAAGTATTAAGTATTATTGAAGTTAAAGTCGGTTTATCAGCTGGAATCTAATGATTCTTATACCATTCGATTCGTCTCATCAAGACGAAAATAATTATACAAAACTCTTTGATTTAGAGCGAGCGATATGGTGAATAATTGGCATAATGCATATACTGAGAATTATTCCCGTTTATGTTACGTATACGTAGTTAATTTCGCACTGGCCTGCACCAGGTTTAAGACCTGGTCAATGCAATAATTACGACAATTGCATGCAATTTAATATCATTTCCACTTTTTTTTAGGATGATCCGTTAATTTTTGGTACGTATTCGAATAGTGCGGTTTAGTAAAGTAGTGTATACTACCACAATCGCACTTGAGTATATAATACTATATTCATAATATATATTATTGGAAGGAACTTTAATTTACCTGCGTTTTAATTTTTACTATATTCATTCAGACTCGGTAAAAAGTGATTAATAAGGTAGTTAAATCCTGACAAATAAAATAGAAAGTTTAAATATATATATACTATATTAATATTCTTATGCGCATTTACACTTACACAATTGCTGTCACTGTATACATTCAAATAAGATATATAAAATAGTATAGTCATAAAAAATTTAATTATATGATCTATATAACTTCACGAAAATTCTACAGTTATCCATTGTTGTAATAAAAATATGACAGTACCAAAAAGAATGTTTTTTTTAACTAAAATCAAGATTTTTACGGGATTGTATGCACTGCTCTCACAAAATCGAGATTTTTACAAGATCGCTTTAACAAAAATCAAGATTTTTACAAACTTGTACGTATATGCATCTACAAGAAAACTTAGAATGTTATTCTCTTGCCATTAGAAGAATGTTCATAGTAAATGAAAATAAATAAGGGTTCTTATATAAACAGTTAATAGCTATATTTAAAGATATAAAAACGTAAACGATTTATACTTGAAAAGAGAATAACATTTTCCAGATGCGAACCTGTTCGTGGATATATCGTTATCATGTAGTTAGATGACCGAGTTATCTAAAATTATTTTTATTTAATACGATATTGTTTAATTCAATAAACATTTAATATTTTATATAATTACCAATGGATTTTATTCTTGAATAGTTTTTATGCTGGAATAGGATCTTGATGTTCTGATCATACAGATAGCATTAATCCCTCCACTATTAATTAAAAGAATAAAAGTGATTATCCGGAGTAACTCGAGTTATTTTGATGGTGTTTGCATCATCATCAAATAACAAAGTTATTTGATAATCATCAAAATAACTCAAGTCATTCTGTTGGTTCGGTCGTCGTAACTACCTGGATAATACAGTTATTGAATGCTACGCAACCAATGACCTGTTTAGCTGGCAGCGAATTTAATATGCCCTTCGGGGCCCACCAGATAATGGAGTATATATTTTTCAAATAACTCTATAGTATTGCGTCATAATTATCGTATGTTGTAAATCATTTATAGGCGTCATGCCTTAATGCATAACAATAAACTTCAAATACTGTATGATTAAAGATCAGTTGGAGTTTCTTTAGTGCAAAATCTCATATATATTACGGTTTACAAAGCCAATTTAAATACTTAAACCATCGTGGATCGTATCAAACGATATAGAGATATAGAGATAGGACTATCCGGGGTTAAATAATTTTACGAGTTTATATGCTATCATATGACAATTAGGTCGCTTTTTAGATTTATATCAACTTGGGTTACGTTTAGAATTCAGTTTCATAAGTGGATTTTAAATCTACAATATTCATACAAAAAAGCTAGCAATATGATTATATAAGTAAAAAAATTGTTTAGCCGCAAAAAATTGCCAACACTGGATATACGTATGTTATATATAATGTATCACTATTTTATCTTCGCTAAATAACATTTTCAAAACAGATTCGTCGAAATTTTTGACAAGTCGGATATTTCAGATTCAACTGCAGTTACTTTAGACAATCTAGGCGGTTTAAAATGTTTATTATAGATAAACAAGTTAAAGGTTCTTTAGTTGTTAAATTTATCGTTTCAATACTTTTATTTAATTCATACTGATTTTCTTTTTGACTTATATTTTATAATATTTATTATACAGTACATCAAAACTTTAAAATAATATACTTTGATTTCGTTGACTAAACTAAAAGCTAGAGATGCATCAATACAACACATGGAGCTGCCTATTGTGCCTGTTGGCAGAATAATGAACAAACCCATTATACACCCATTATACTATATATTAATTCTTTTATAAAATTTATTAATGTAGTTTTCTTGGTCATAATCTTATCCTACAATAAAAAGTTATTCAATTTCATGTGATTAATCAATCTCGAAATTAGCAATCACTATGCATAATTTACTTATAGATATAAATAAATTTGACTAAGCTGACGACGACTTAGTTGGCAACTTTGGTCGACACGCGCTAGTCCATTTCTGATGATAAATAGATGTAAGTTCGATTATGATCGCTCGTGCAGCTGAAGAAAATGTATCGATATTTCGTCAAGAAGGAACTTTGCCACTTGAGGATGTTGTTATTTCATACATTAAAAAAGTTTGATATTTTCTCTTATTATATCAAAATATGTTGCTGAATTGTTTAATATTTATGTTCATTTACATTCTTACTCATTTAGGCATTGGAAGTAGGCAACAGCTGGCCAAACACAAAATATGCTCTAATGCAAATGTATGCTGTACATTCAAAAGAACCAAAATTAGTTCATACAAAATCATATGAGGAACTGTGTAAAATTTATGGCTTGGAAACTTTTTTAGAAAAAGCAAACTTAACTACACGGTTGACAAAAAATGGTAATGAATTTTTTAACTACTAAAAAAAAAAAAGATTGACGGTGTAATTGAATTTCCCCACATAAAACACATACTATTTATCGTAATAATAATGATTAATTATTTTTCTATCATAGGAAAAAATTTGGTCAAATCTGATTTTTCTAACAAATTAGAAAATACAACTAATAATAGAAGAAAACATCTAGAAGAATATCAATCAGAATTTGAGGCAAATAAGATAAAAAAGGCTAAGGTTGGTGATGAAAAAAAAGATCAAATATATTCAACATTTAACGTTTAGGGATGGATTAGTCCGGTCCATTCCGTCTCAGTTCTTGAAACGGCTCGAAAGCCAAATGCGTTTACGTGACTATAAACCAATACGATTGTCCTATTTATAAATTGCATCTCACTATAGTGGTAGACGTTCATCAAAATTTTCTATGCATATCACTCTCGTTATAGTAAAGTTTTTGACTATGAAAAAAAAATTTTGCTATAATTCATATCGAAAGAATACTGGATGCACTTTACTATATCGAGTTGAAGTTCAATAATACAGTATTTCAAATTTTTTTTCGTTATATCGTGAACTCACTGTAACGAAAGTGATATGAATTTTTTTTTTAAAAAAAATTATTACTAGTTCGGTAATAAATTATTTTTTATAAACCTTTTGAATATTAAAAACCAGATTCGTTATTTTAAATCTTAATTAAAAAAAATTAATGCATAATTTAAAGTGATATTTAATAAGTGTATCTTTGGACTAATAGCTAATTAAGATACAAGTTTTATAATTATTAATATAATATATTATAGTTTATACAGTATATACAGGGTTGTGAGCTTATATAGGGACTTTGCAGTAGAAAGGGCCTAAATGCTATATATAATATATATAGCATTTAGGTCTTTTCTACTGCAAAGTCCCTATATAGTTTAATGGAACCAATAAACCAGCTTTGAAAAACAATTTTAATCTTTTGATTCACACAATAGCTTCTCAAAAACCTAAATTTCTTATAAATTTTATCCAAGCTCATAATCCTCAAGTCATTCAAGCTACTGATATTCCTTTTAATATTATTCTTGAATCTTTTAAAAAACTATTATTAGTATTTATTACTGCTTTTTTTCATGGTTCTAATTACCCCAAAATATTTAATTCTTATCTTTTTATTCTCCCATTCTATTAAAAAACAATTCTAAATTATTATTAATTTAATCAGATTTTATCTTATTTTTATCAACCAATATCAAATTATCAATCATAATAAATTTTTTTAGGATCTTAAACTTAAACCAATCTATTTACATTTATTTTTCATATTAATCAAATTAAACACACAAATACATTTATATTTCAAATCTATAACAACTCAAGATTTTATATTAATATTTCTATTAATATACCTTTACAAAAATTTCTAACAATATATTATATTTCTCCTTTCTTTTTTTTTTAACAGAGTTTGATATATGGTTTCAAAAATTTTTCAAACATTACAAAAAATAATTTAAGATGATCAATGAGCAAAAAGTTTATAATTACATCAAGTTTCAAATAGTAACAACAATGAATAATGGATACAAAAAACTTATTCTTAAAGAAATCCACTCTTCTACTATTTTAACTACTCAAGATCACACAAATATCACTACTAAAGTTGCACTACATCATATATACATATATATAGATCTAACTAAATTTACAATCCTTATACCAAACACTATATACAATTTCACAATTTAACTACTTATTTCATTAAACAATCCTTTAAAATTTTACTAGTTTTTAAATATATTTACTTAACTATAGATAATTCTAACTTCATTTCTAATCAACTTCATATAGTTACTTTTTCTTCTGATTTTTTTTTTAAAGATCTATATAACTTTGCTAATCTAGCAGAACAAAAATTTACTATATTTAATCAAAAATTTATTGAATTTAATAAGTCTAAGCTCTCTAAAACAAAATTTAAAACTTTAAACTCTAAACAAATATCTTATTTCTTTTATAATTATTTTAAAGCATATTTAAAAATCATTGCAACTAATAATCAAATTATAGATCTTAATCTTAAAGAAATACTCAACAAATCAACATCCAAAGATCCACAAACCTTAGTGAGAATTATTATTTACTATAATATTACTCAAATTTCAAAACCAATAAAAAAAAAATTTAAAGAAATTATATCTTGATTAAGCAAACCAAGACTTAATCAAAAAATTTAAAATTTTTGTTTCTTTTATATTGGATATAGACTTTATCGCTACAAAGCCCAAAACTTAATAATCACAATAACTACAACAATTACAACAACAATATCTAACTACTTTATTACAAAATATAAAAGTTCTAAAACCAACAAACAACAACAGTATTATTTAAAAAATTATACTATAAAATTTAAAATTCCTAAATTGATAAAAGCCTCTTTCTCTAATTCAAAAACTTTTTATACTTTACTTTTCAATATTTAAGTACTATACTTTTATATATTTAACTATTATTTTTTTTATACTTTATAACTTTTTATCACTAAATATATCAATTACTTTATATTTTAGTTTGCTTAAATATACTTTTACATAGTATATTACTTTTTTTATACTTTATACAGCATTTGACAAAAGTTTCCTCGTATCTTTAACTCGGCACAGAGGTGAGGTAAGTAAAAAATGTTTTTTATTTAAAAATATATTGCATTACAATAAAAATCAATGTATTGTATAATTATCCTCAGCTTTAATTAAGGCTTCTACACAACCTTTCATACTCCTAACTAAATTTTTTGTATATTCTTTAGATAAGCTATTCTATTCTCTTGTTATTTCACTCTTCAAACAACTAAGAGTTCTAATTTTTTTTTGCCAAATTCATTTTCATCAACTTTAGGTATTTTTAATTAGGTTTTGGTCAGGTGATATCGATAGCCAAAAAAGAACCTGAACATTATTTTCTTCTTTCTAAACCTTTGTGATTTTTGAACAATGCTTCAGATTGTTGTCCTCTCGCAAGATCTATCTATCGTATTGTTCATTAAAAAGGTCTTCAACGGAAGGCAGAAGGTCTGTTTCATATAGGTGATCATATATTGTGTATTAAGATTACACATAAAGCAGACCAATTTGCCAAAGCTCGAAGAAGAAAAATAGTCTCATACATGAATCTTTATTGGATACTTAATGGAATGGTTTAATTTTCTTCTTTTGAAAAATTGCTATGCCTTTTTTAGTCATTAAAGATACTTTTGTTGTTAAATATCATAAAATTACAGTCAAAATCCTTATACTTCTTTATCTATGAAAAGCATTTTTTTTGATGTTTCTCTTCAAGCAAAGGCTTCGAGAGCTTTCTGTAATAGTGGTGCCCACCTTTATAAAGACACTGTTGAATAGTGCACACATGAATATTGATGTTTTGTTTCATCAGTTTATAATAGATTTCTGGAGCTATAATATCTTCATTTTCTTTTCCCAGCTCAAAAATCTGTTTGTCTTGTCTTTGGATAATAGCCCTTTTACAACCTAACCTTGGTTTGTCACTTAGATCCTTGGTTACTTGCTATCTTTTTACCTAATAGCACACAGAACTTTTATCACAGTGAACTTGCTTTACTATTTTATGGATTGAAAGCTTTGGGCCTTTCAGATAGGTGTTTAAAAAAATGATTTCATATCATTTATATAAAGTAAGAGATATTTTTTTGGCTAAAATTTCATGCATGATTGAAGCAGATATTTTTACTATCAATCATGCCTGAAGAACGTTAGTACAATCTGCATATACAATATACTATATATGAATGAAGTTTCATATATCTATACATAATCTAGCGAAAACTAAAGGTGTGGAAAAACTTTTGTCAAGCACTATAACTCTATATTATTAAACATACAAATTATCTTTTAATTTGCTTTCTTTTTAAATATATTAAATTAAATATTCTATTTTTTCTATATTTTCTTTCTCTTTTTTTATTCATTTCACTTAGAAGCTTACTAATCTAGATGAGTTTTTAACTATTTTAGTAGGTTTAGATCACAGATAAAGTAGTCTGAGCTTTTATTCTTGTATATAGATTTTATTTTTTATATTTTATATATTTAAAGATTAGCAACTCATTATAATTACTATATTAAAAACTATTAATAAAGATAGAAACAAGACCTTATCTTAATACAAAAAAAA